ACCCCAGAGAGCCCACAGCACAGAGCAGGGAGCCAGGGACTGTGGGGAAAGGCAGGGAGTGAGGGGGGACACCCCAACAGCCCACATCACAGAGCGGGGAGCCAGGGACTGTGGGGAAGGGCAGGGAGTGAGGGGAGACACCCCTCAAACCATCCCAAATAAAGAGTCCTGGGGCCCAGCTTTGTATCCAAAACTTGAGGCGCTTTTCATTCCACTTCCAGGAATGAGGGAATTAAAAAACTCAGCAATGACTGAAATATCCAGGGATAATGACAAGGGGGAACGGCTTCCCACTGCCAGAGGGAATGGATAGATGGGATACCAGGAAGGAGTTCTTCCCTCTGAGGTTGGCAAGGCCCAGGTTGCCCAGAGAAGCTGTGGCTGCCCCTGGATCCCTGGAAGTGTCCAAGGCCAGGTTGGACAGGGCTTGGAGCAACCTGGGCTGGTGGAAGGTGTCCCTGTCCATGGCAGGGGGTGGAACAAGATGATCCTTAAAATCCCCCCCAACCCAACCCATTCCATGATTAAACATTCTGCAACCTCCCAAAACCTCATTTTGATAGGACTTTTAATTGCTCCACATAACTGTGATCCCTTGTTTCTCACAGGTAAAATTAAAAGGTTACTGATGACAAGGAGCAATTCCAATCCCAGGCCACCAAAGTCAGGGAAAGTTCAGCCAAATGAGCCCAAAGCCCCTGCCCAGGTGCCAGGACACCCAGCCCATGGCACAGGAGGGAGGGAGGAGGGAGGCAGGGCCGAGGGAGGGGTCACCACACACTCACTTTGCAGTTAAGATCTTGTGATCCACATCGTCCAGGGAGGAGCTGTGAGCGACGTGGAACGTCCCAAACAGTGTGTTCCGCTTCTTCTTGATCTTCTCAGCCTGGAATATCAACAGAGAAGGGTCACAGGATGAAGATGACCTGCTGTCTCCTCCAGGACATGAACATCCTGGATGGGCTGGGACAGGAACAGTCCCTGCAGCTGCCTGCACATGTGGGAACAGCAGGAATGGTGTTGGGACTGAGGGATGTCATTCCCTGGCACGGGGGTGAGCAGTTCACCAGCAGCAAGTACCAGCTGGAGGTTTCATGCTCTCTTCTCCCAGCTTCCCAAAAATCAGAGGGAACTGAACTGAAGAGAGAGAACTTTGAGGGCAGGGGTGGAGTCCCCATCCCTGGAGGGATTTAACAGTCCTGTGGATGTGGCACCTGGGGATATGGGTCAGTGGTGGCCATGGCAGTGCTGGGGGAATGGGTGCACTTAAAGGTCTCTGAGGGCTTTCCAAACCCAAACCATTCCATGACTCCATGAACCAGGCACCTCACTCAGTGAAGGGCCCTCATAAAGCCTTGGCTTGTCTTTCCCATGAGCACCCAACACACCCCAGTGATGCCCTTGGGTAAGGTTTTTGGTTTGAGGTTGGTTTTGTGCCACTGTACTAAAAAAAAAGCCTCAACACACAGCTCTTCAGTTCCCAGCTCCAGGGGGAGCTTTGGGACTTGGGGAAGCCAAGGATGTGGATGTGAGAACTGACACAGCCCAAGGAAACCTGTTGAAATGCTAGAATGTTCCCAATAAAGGAAGATTAAGGCAGACAGATTTCCCTCCCTGCCAGCCCTGCAGGCTGTGTATGGCCATGGAGACAGGGACATGTTACAACAGCCTCCCTGAGCTCATCCCGTGGGGCTGGCACACAAAGCCCAGGGAATGGGAATGCAGCAGTGATTCACCCCATGGATGGCACACAAAGCCCAGGGAATGGGAATGCAGCAGTGATTCACCCCATGGATGGCACGTTCACCCTGGGATTTCACTGCCTGGGCACATTCAGCCCCTGGAGCAGGGATTAGGCTGAAGAGGTGCAAAACCTCCTGCTCACTGACTGCCCAGGGCAGCAGTCCCTGTCCCACACCTTCCCAAGGCTCCAGTCACATCCAGCCAGGCCCTGCCCAGACAAGAGCCTGCAGCTCATCATCATCATCCTCCTCCTCAGCCCTGTCACACGTCAGGGAAGGTTTGGGCTGCACTTTTAAAAAATGCAAATTCAGGGCATGAAAAAAGAAACTGGCTTTGACCTGAAGGAGGGCAGGGTGAGATGGGATATTGGGAAGGAATTCCTGGCTGGGAGGGTGGGGAGGCCCTGGCCCAGGTTGCCCAGAGAAGCTGTGGCTGCCCCTGGATCCCTGGAAGTGTCCAAGGCCAGGTTGGACGGGGCTTGGAGCAACCTGGGCTCAACAACCCCCTAGGAGGGCGTGGCACTGGATGGGCTTTGAGGTCCCTCCCAAGCCAATCCATTGTGGGATTCTGTGATTCCATGAAACAAAGAAGGTGCAGAGAAACCAAACTGTGCAGGTTCCACCCCCAACCCCTGCCGTGGGCCCGGGACAAGGACGGTGCAACTCTCACCCCTTCCTTGGCCACCAGCAGCTGCTTCTCCGCGTTCTGCTTCTTGATGTTGTAGTACTGGACCTCCACCTCGTGGGTCAGCTGGAGCCACTTCTGCAGAGCCTCGGGGGCAGCCCAGCTGCAGTGGGACTCCAGCTCCTTCTCCGCGTTCTTCAGCGCCATCCGGACCTGCAGGGGAGCGCCGGGATGGACACGCTGCCCTCCCACAGCTCAGCCCACTCCTGCCTGCCAACCCGCCCCTTCCAAGGCACCAAAGCGAGGACAGAAGTCCCCACACAGCCCCATCCCTGGCAGGGCAGCAGCAGAGGTCCTCAGCAGAGGTCCTCGGGAGGAGTGGTGGCATCCTGGACCGCGGGCACGGGAGGGAGCGCAGCCACCCACAGACCAGGCTGCTGCTCCGAGCACCAGAACCACCTACAGACAACTCCTTTCATCCTACAGCTGAGCTCCTGCCTCAGAAATTCCCAGCCAGCACGATGCTGTGCTCCCTCTCGACCCCTCCAGGCCAGCTCCTCTGCCACCAACCGCAGGAAAACCCTGCAGAGCCGACAGCACAGTGCACGAGGGAGTTAAAGGAGAGCTGGGCTGGAGGGGAGAACACTCAGGGTGTTTATTGTAGCCTCCAGACACCCCTGCAGAGCTCCCTGCCTGTGTGTAAATCCCACAGATCCTCCCCTGGAGGCAGCATCCCTGACAGCATCCCTGTCTCACCCAGCTCCCAGCCAAGCACAGCGAGCTCGTCAGGAGACACTTCCAGGCTGGAGCAAGTGAAGCAATATTTAGACACAAAGCATGTGCTGCTGGTCAGGAAAGGAACAGCAAGGCTGGAATCAGCCATTCCTGGGGTCTCTCATTCCCCCAGCCCAGGCTCCCACACCCTGACTCATCCCAGAGACGGGAGAGGGTACAAGATTAGAAGGAAGTGGGTGAGAAGCCAGTTGAGGACACAAAACGTCACAGGAAAGCCTTTAGTGCTGGAGACCATCAAGGATTAACTCTTCCCTTCCCCTGCCCACGGTGTGGAGAGGCTTTGGCACACCTGGAGCCAACACAAGCCCTGCAGGAAGTGAACACTGGAGGGATGCAAGGATGGGAATGCGATCCTGGGACAGCCCCATCCACAGTCAGGATTCCCTGCCCCCAGAGCCCCCCAGGCTCGGGGGGTTGCCTGGTTTTACACTGTCCAACCTGGTTTTACACTGTCCAACCTGGTTTTACACTGTCCAACAGGTTTCCTGGCTGCCAAACCCCCCCAGAGCAGCTCCTGGAGCATTCCCTGCTCCCGCTCATCCCATCCCACGGGCACAGCCCTTCCCCTCGCACGGTGGGCGGACGGGAGAAGCGCTTTTTAAAGGATTGCTCAGACTTGGATCTCTTCCCTCAGCGTGTTATTTAACTCGGTCACGTCTCACCCAGCCCACGGCTGTGATTCCTACGGAGCCCAAAGGCCCAGGTTACAGGCGGATCCTCTGAAATCCCAGAGTTTATCCTGAAGGAAGGTCCATCGGGGAGGCATCGCACACAGGAGGTCAAGCACTCCCTCCACATGGGTGGGATTTGGGCTCGTTGAGTACAAAACTGCCTAAATCAGTCCCAGAGTTCCAAATTCACAATGGCAGACCCCGGGTTTTTCCTGTTTTTTCCCCAGGTGCTGCTCCCACCACAGAGGAACTCTGACTACCAACCACAAGCATCTGGGATTTGGGAATATGCACAATAAGTGGGCAGGAAATCTGGCACTGGGTGTTTGGGGTACAGGAGTGCTCAAAACACAGGAACAATGTTTTTAGGGAATGGTGGGAAGGGGAAGTGGTGTGGAACAACAGGCAAGGGACCAGTGGTTGAGATGAGGGTCCACAACCCAAACCCTCCCAGTTCTGCAAGGAATCAGTGCAAACAGGAGCTGGTTTGTGTGTGTCCATTCTCCTGGGAACATGTCTGAGATCCCATTTGGATCACTAAGAATCCCTCTGCTCTGGAGCCAGGCTGGGAGAGCTGGGGGGGGTTCACCTAGAGAAGAGAAGGCTCCAGGGAGAGCTGAGAGCCCCTTGCAGGGACTAAAGGGGCTCCAGGAGAGCTGGAGAGGGACTGGGGACAAGGGATGGAGAGACAGGACACAGGGAATGGCTTCCCACTGCCAGAGGGCAGGGAGAGATGGGAGATTGGGAAGAAATTTCCTGGGAGGGTGGGGAGGCCCTGGCCCAGGTTGCCCAGAGAAGCTGTGGCTGCCCCTGGATCCCTGGAAGTGTCCAAGGCCAGGCTGGACGGGGCTTGGAGCAACCTGGGCTGGTGGAAGGTGTCCCTGCCCATGGCAGGGGTGGCACTGGATGGGCTTTGAGGTCCCTTCCAACCCAAACCATTCTGGGATTCCATTCTGTGATTCTCTCAGTGTCCTCCAGGTCTGCAGCCCCACTGGGGTCGTGGTCTGGGGGAGGGTGACCCAGCAAGGAGAGGGTTGGATGGACATCCCAGGAACACGACTCCAGCAGGGTGTGTGGGATGTGTCACTTCAGTGACAGGAACCACCTGGGGCAGTGGAAGGTCTTGGCTGATATTCCCTGGGATCAGGGAATACGGTGACCTGGGAGGAGCTGTGGGGTCAGTGGGGGTGGCTGGTTAATGCCAGGTGTGTCCTGGGGCTGCTGGGTGGTGCTGGGGTTACATCACACGGTGGGTCAGGGGGACACTCCGTACTCACCCCGCCGCCCTCCCGACGGACACTGCGGAACAACAGAGGCACGTCAGCTCCTGCTCTGGGAATGAGGGGAGCTGGCAGGGGCACCTGGGCTTCTCCAGAGCCAGGAGCTGGCTAGGAACGAGGGCTGGGGGTACCTGAACCCACCCAGCCCTGTCTGATGGCCCAACACACACGGACCCAGCTCCTGTTCGTGTCAGGATGGATGTCCCAGTGCCTGTCCTGAAATGGAGCTCAGTGACCTCGTGGAGAGGCTGGACAGCCACTTAGGAGGGAGGAAGGATGTTGGATCAGGAGAGCAAGGCTGGAAACAGTCCCCTTCAGGTCTCTGGGCTGTTGCTGCTCCAGGCAGGAAGGGAATTTGCTGTTGGTACACCTGGCTGTGCTGCCCCACGGCTCCCGGGACACTTGGTCCTCCCTTGCCAGTGGAAACCCTGGATTCTTGCCTTGTTTTCTTCCCCATCCTCCATGGTAGCAAAAAAGCTTGGGCACAGGCAGGAGGATGTGCCAACTGCCTCAAAATAGCCAAGGACCTTGCCTGGCTCCTGCAGTCCTGGCTCATGCAGCTTCACTTTACACTGATCTGGAGCTTAAAGTCAGGTAGGAATTGTCCCTCAGGTGAGACAGGAAACAGCTCCTGGAACTGTGGGTTTGGACTTTCTTGTAGGTTTGGGGAGGTTTAGGTTGGATATTGGGAAAATTTCTCCATGGAGAGGGCTGTCCAGGGAGGTGGTGGAGTCCCCATCCCTGTGGGGATTTAACAGCCATGTCCATGTGGCACTCGGGGACATGGTCAGTGGTGGCCTTGGCAGGGCTGGGGCACGGTTGGACTCCACAGTCTCCAAGGGCTTTCCCAACCCAAACTTTATACACTTCCCTGATGCACAAGAAAGCACGGAAAGCACAACCAAACTCCTTCTAAATCTCTCCTAAAACCACGGATACAAAAAGAGAAAGACCTTATGGTTTGCAGAGGGAGGCAGAATTCCCAGAGGGTGCAGCCCCAGGGCAAGGCAACACCTCTCCTGCTGCTGGGACGCCACGTGGTGCCAACCTGAACACTCAGTTCCCTGATTTCCCTGAGGGAAGAAGGCCCTGCTGGCCTGGCTGACACCCCCCCAGTGGCAGCACATCCCCCGTGGCCCCTCACCTGCTCCAGCTCCTGCTCCGCGTATTTCTGGCGGCTGAGCTCGTTCTCGGTGCCCTCGCGCAGCTCCCGCAGCCGGTGGGCCTCCTGCTTGGCCATGCTGATCTCGTCCTGCAGCTTCTTCTCCAGGTGCACCTTCTCCACCTCCACGGAGCGATGCTCCTCCTGCGCCTTCTGCAGCCTGGAACACACACAGGGTTGGGCTGGGCTGGGCTGGGCTCTGTGGCCATGGGCCCCACAGCCCAGCCCTGCCCTCATCTGCCCTCATCTCTGCCCAGCCCTGCCCTCATCTGCCCTCATCTCTGCCCAGCCCTGCCCTCATCTGCCACGTGCTCACAGCAACACACACCTGGAGGGGCAAGGACAAGGTGTTCAGGAGGAAATTAAATTGTCAACTGCTCAGCTTTGCTCATTTATTGAATGCTCAGGACGTGTTTTCTTCATTTTCCAGAGTGTATCTGGATTTCCTTTAATAAGCCTCAAGTTGAGTTTTTGGCGTTTTCCAAAAGTGAAAACTTTATTAAAGCAGAGGAGGAGCAGATCTGCCTGAGCAGGTCTGACCACCCAGAGGGGATGGCTCTGTGTTCCCTTCCCAAAAGCCTTCAAATTTGGACACGTCTTAATCCTGCCTGGAAGTTCTGACTTTTCCTCATGCCAGCCCCTCCCCAAACCTGACCTGCCCCTCCCCAGCTGGAGGCCCAGGCCCTCAGTGACCAGTGACTCTCCCAGGAATTGTCCCTCCTGTGCCAGGCAGGCTCTGCCTGGGCTGTTCTGCTGGCCCTGGATTAGGATTAGGATTAGAGTTAAGATTAGTCCCCACTCCAGGCGGAGCCCAGAGCCTGCGTGGTGTCCCCAGGGAGCCACATGGGGTGGCTCTGCCATGGTCCCTGTCGGTCTCTCCCACCCCTGGTGACTTTTAGGATTCTACTGAACTGTTAATAGAAGAGGCTGATTTTCTAACTATGCTCATCTGTGCCTGGTCCATCTTGGGAGCCAGATGGGTCCTGGCAGCCCCAGAGATGTGAAACTCGATGGTTTTATGGCCCAAGACGGCCCCCAACCACCTTCTCACCCATGAGACCCTCTCTGCAACAAGCCTCAAATCCCAGAGGGCCCCTCTCCAGGGCAGCTCCCCGAGTCCCTGTACCAGGAAGGTGTCATCCAGGTGTTTTAGGAATCTCCTGTACCTATCCCAGCTGTGTGGTGTTCCCAGGTAACACCCAAGGACAGAGTGGTTAGGTTAGAGGTGTCCTTCAGATCCTTAAACAAGAATTCCTTGGAGTCCTGGCTGGGTGGCCCAGAGCGGCCTTCTGTGACAACACCCGTGTCATTTGTCCCTCAGTCACGGAATCACAGAGTGCTTTGGGTTGGGAGGGACCCCAGAGATCCTCCAGTGCCACCCCTGCCCTGGGCAGGGACACCTTCCACCAGCCCAGGTTGCTCCAAGCCCCGTCCAACCTGGCCTTGGACACTTCCAGGGATCCAGGGGCAGCCACGGCTGCTCTGGGTCCTTTGGGGCTCACAATCCAGGTGCTGATTTTCCATACAATCCACACATCTTCAACACAGCCCTTCCCACATGTGCAGGCATCAGTGGGATGTGCCAAGACATCATGATGAGTCATTTAATGGACTGGGAAGTGTCACTGCTGAAGGATGTTCTCAAAGGTATTTGGAAGACGAATAAAAAACAGGCTTTTGTATCAACATTCCCAACTCCTCAAGACCATTTCTGAGCTGTTCAGCAAATCACAGCACCAGGCACTGGAGAGGCATCCCTGAGCCTTCCTGAGCTCTGCTCAGCACTGAGCTTCACTCAGCCAGGGAAGAAGGGGCCTTCAGGCTCTGGAAAAGAAGCTTCTGAGCAGAACTTCAGCACGACTTCTCCACAGGTCCAGCAGAACTGGTGCTGCCCAGAGTTTGATGTTCCCACAGCGGCTGAGGACCACAACTGAACCTTGCTGGGGCCAAGGATTGAGGAACTGAAGGAGTATTTGAAGTATTTCCCCTCAAGGGGCCTCATCAGGTCCCCAGTTCACCTCCCACCCCTTGAGCTCAGTGCCCTGGGTGGAGAATGAGCCCTCCCAGCTGCTCTGGCTTAAGGCTTCAGGCTCCAGCTAAGCCAGGCACAAGTGGTTTTGTGTTTCTTCCTATCGGAAGTTAAGAACTTCCCAGGAACAGCTCCTTGTTTACGCGGCTCCCAAGGTCATTCCCAGGGGCACATTCCCCGCAGCCCCTCAGAGTCTGGAGCTCTGAGGTGACACCAAAGAGGCCTCCTGGCCTGGACACAGCACTGCTGCTGTGGGACATGGGATTCCTGTGTCCTTCTGGATGCAGGAAAAATAAACCAATCTTTCTTTGGGAGTGTTTCCAACCTGTAACTCCTGGAGTCCCTGTGGAACCAGCTGTGGATTGGAGCCAGCAGAGGAGAAATGCACTTTGGCTCCAGGTCACACCCTGTGGTGGCACCACCCCAGTGTGGCATCATCCCCTGGGTGCTCTCAGGTGTCTGCTCTCCTCACACACACAGCTGGTGCCACCACACTGGAGGAAGAGGAGCCTTGCCAGCAGCACTCATGGGTGGGACAATTCCCTGAGGACGTCCTGAGCACACGGGCAAGGAACCAGGCTGCAGGCTGGGGGTACATCAGGCACATTCCAAACACTGGGCTGTCTGCAGGTCTCCAGCTGGACATCCTCGGGATCCCGGGGTTTGCACAGGTCACTCATTGCCCCCCCATGACTGGCCAGGATGGGTGTCTGGGGTTGGGCTCCACGTTCCACTGGCAACACGACCATCACCTTATGTGGCAGTCAAATCAAGCTTTATCCTCCAAAACTACACTCAAACCTCCTGGGAAGCAGCTCCAGCCCCAGACTGTCACTCTCTGCTATTTGCTAAATCTGCCCCTAAAATATCTTGCTGCCAAAAGACCCCCCAGGTTTGTCATCCCCAGGGGTGAAGACTCTTCTCTGTCCCAGAAACTGGAGGATGATCCAAACCAAGGAGTGATGGGGTCTGGAGAGGAGCCCCTGCAGGTCCCTCCTGCTCACTCAGGGGGGAGCAGCCGGGGGGATTCTGCCCCTCTGCCCTGCCCAGGTGAGACCCCCCTGCAGAGCTGCCTCCAGCTGAGGAGACCTGAGAGCCCCTTCCAGGGCCTAAAGAGGCTCCAGGAGAGCTGGAGAGGAACTGGGGACAAGGGATGGAGAGACAGGACAAGGGGGAACCACCAGAGGGCAGGATTAGATGGGATATTGGGAAGGAATTCCCTGGGAGGGTGGGGAGCCCCTGGCACAGACTGCCCAGAGAAGCTGTGGCTGCCCCATCCCTGAAGAGTCCAAGGCCAGGTTGAACAGGGCTTGGAGCAAGCTGGGCTGGTGGAAGGTGTCTCTGCCCATGGACTGGATGAGCTTTAAGGTCCTTCCCAACCCAAACCATTCCATGGTTCTCTGACTCTGTGGAGGAACAGGCCAGGTGAGCATGCACACACCTTTAAACACAGCCTAGGAAGTGAACCCCTGCAGGAGCCCAGCACCCATCCAAGCTCTGGAGGCTGCTGGCAGCTTCTGCAGGTCCCTCAGGAATGGACTGACTCTGGTATGAGGCACCACAACAGCTAAAAACAGTATTTTCTGAAATCTAAAGGAATAAGGACCTTACAGGAAGAAGTGACAGCTGAGAGCTCCAGCTGGGTGGACACACAGAACCTACCGCTCCTGAAGGTCGTGGAGAGACTGCTCAGCTCTGTGGAGACCCTCCAGGTCCTTCATCATCTTCTTCATGTGCTCCTTGGAGTAGCGGTTCTGGATGTAGGCGAACCAGCAGCCGCCCACCCCGATGACGATGGACACCACCAGCATGAAATCCTTCAGGTGGTTGTGTCGGGTCACTGGAAGAGACCAGAGACACTCCTGAACTCCAAATCCTTCGACTGCACTGGAGTGGGACAGGAGAACTCAGGATAGCTCTAGAAAGAACTGTGGCCCAGGACTCACAAAGGGAAGGAGCTACTTTGGTGTCTAAGGGGAACACCAGAGGGTTCACACCATTCATTCAATTTGGAGACACACACACAAAAAAGGAGCTGAAATTCCAAATCTTACAGCTCTGATTTGCCTGGCAATAGGTGGTACAGCAGGGACCCCACACAGGAACCCCCTGAAGAGCTGTGCTCTCCTAGGGCAGCACAGGCAACACTGAGTACAAGGATAAGCAAGATCAGTAAGAGCCAAGAAGGAAACAATTTGAAAGAATAAACTGAAGGAACACAGCTGTGATCCCAGAGCTTCTGGGGCAGCACAAGTATCAAATCACCAAGTTGCCAAACCTTCTACAGAGTCACAACTCAGTGTGGAAACTCCCCTTTTCAACAGTTGCTTCAAAAAAAAGGTGTGGACACGTGAGAGAAGGAGAGGAAATAAGTGGGGGCTTAAGTGCCACACAAAGCTCAACAGAGACAAGCAGACTTTTTTTTTCCTGTAACTATTTGTTGAATTCTCACCCCAGTGTGTGCTGAGAATGCCACAAAGAGCAGCTCAGTCACGTGAGCTCTGACTCAACGTTCAGCATTTGCTGGTTTTAAACCCAACGAGGGGGGACTCACTCCAGATATTGGGAAGGAATTCCTCCCTGGGAGGGGCTGGCCCAGGTTTCCCAGAGAAGCTGTGGCTGCCCCTGGATCCCTGGAAGTGTCCAAGGCCAGGTTGGACGGGACTTGGAGCAACCTGGGCTGGTGGAAGGTGTCCCTGCCCACGGCAAGGAGATTGGATCAAATGGACTTTTAAGGTCCCTCTCAAGCCAAACCCTTCTCTGATCACTAAAATGTGTGTGTCACAGTGGCAGAGCTGGGGGAACAGGGAAGGGGCCCTGGGAGGTGGAAACCTGAAGAGGGAATGTAAAGCACACCATGGAATTCCAGGGCTCGGGGGCTGGATTGACCCCTGGGGGGACAGTGGTGCCTGGGATGGAGGGGCTTTCCCTGTGGGGGGAGAGGGACAGGACCTTTCCCCAGGTGCCCAGCAGACACCCAAACACCATCTCCCTTGTGGTGGACACCAGGTGTGACCCATCACCTGAGAGTCCCATCACTGTGAACCCATTCCCGTGTAAATCCCGGAGAAATAAACACGGAGAGCGCCGGGCCCGCGTCCCATCCCGGATGGATTATCACAACATCCTCTTCCTAAGCAGCACATCCTGGCAAGTCGCTGCAGGTCTGAGATCTTGAATCCTTTCCCTTCCCCTTTGGAGGCCCGTGGGGGTGACGTGTCCAGGTGCTTTGTGTCCCACCCCAGGGTCTCTCCCCTTCCCTGCCGGCACAGCCGCCCCCAGCCCGTGGCTCAGCACGCCCAGTGCTGCCCAGAGCAGCCCCTGCCAGCCCCACCCCACCTGAGTCACCTCCTGCTCCCTGTGCCAGCACCAACCACGCTGGGACCCAGCCTGTCAGCACTTGGGACATCCCTCCCCTGCACCAGCTCTGGCTCGAGGCGAGCGGGTGAGGAAACCAAGGAAAACTCAGCTGGGACGTAAATGTAGCACGATGGAATCCCGGACTGGTTTGGGTTGGGAGCAACCTCAAAGCTCATCCCAGTCCAACTCCTGCCATGGGCAGGGACACCTTCCACCAGCCCAGGTTGCTCCAAGCCCCGTCCAACCTGGCCTTGGACACTTCCAGGGATCCAGGGGCAGCCACAGCTTCTCTGGCCAACCTGGGCCAGGGCCTCCCCACCCTCCCAGCCAGGAATTCCTTCCCAATATCCCATCTCATCCTGCTCTCCAGCAGTGGAAGCCATTCCCTGTGTCCTGTCCCTCCATCCCCTGTCCCCAGTCCCTCTCCAGCTCTCCTGGAGCCCCTTTAGTCCCTGGAAGGGTCTCTCAGCTCTCTCTGGATCCTTCTCTTCTCCAGGTGAACCCCCCCAGCTCTCCCAGCCTGTCCCAGAGCAGAGGAGCTCCAGCCCTGGAACATCTCCACGGCCTCCTCTGGACTCCTCCAGCAGCTCCACATCCTTCTGCTGTTGGATCCCAGGGCTGGAGGCAGCTCTGCAGGTCAGAGTTGCTGCCTTTGGACTTGTTGTACCAGGACTTTCTGTAACTTCAGCTCCTGCCCTGCTGCACCCTGTGCCAGAGGCCGATGGCCGTGGGGCCGTTCCCAGCCCAGGTTCAGATTGTTCTTGTCCAGTTTACTGTGACTTCAATCCCCCTGGATTTGTCCCTCACCCCTGGCTGGCACAGTCTGTTCACAGCCTGTTCTGCTCCCGTGTGGCCTCGGCTGCTCCTGCACTGTCACCAGCACCAGGCACACGTTACACCTGCACAGGCTGCAGGAGAAGGGAAAGTGCCCCATGGAAAACTGACTCCTCTACATCTTTTCTTCCCTTTTTCTGGGGGAAAGAAGGGAGAACAGGCACAGTTTTACTAAAGACTGTGGTTGTTCCACTCGACTGCAAGACATAATGTCCTGTGGGGTTTGCAGCTCTGCTTTGGCTTTGTGCTTGAAGGAAGGTAAAAGGGTCAAAAAGGGGTGAAGGTTTGAAACTGCAGGAGGGACAACTTGGATTAGATATCAGAGAAAAGCTTGTGCAGTGAGGGTGGTAAAATGGAGATGCTCCAAGGGCTGGAGCCCCTCTGCTCTGGGACAGGCTGGGAGAGCTGGGGGGGCTCACCCCAGAGAAGGATCCAGGGAGACCTGAGAGCCCCTTGCAGGGCCTAAAGGGGCTCCAGGAGAGCTGGAGAGGGACTGGGGACAAGGGATGGAGGGACAGGACACAGGGAATGGCTTCCCACTGCCAGAGGGCAGGGAGAGATGGGATATTGGGAAGGAATTCCTGGCTGGGAGGGTGGGGAGGCCCTGGCCCAGGTTGGGCAGAGAAGCTGTGGCTGCCCCTGGATCCCTGGAAGTGTCCAAGGCCAGGTTGGACGGGGCTTGGAGCAACCTGGGCTGGTGGAAGGTGTCCCTGCCCATGGCAGGAGTTGGAATGGGATGAGCTTTGAGGTTGCTCCCAACCCAAACCAGTCTGGGATTGCCTGTTGATATCCAGCCCCAGCCCTTTCTTGAGTCCTTAAAACTCTTATTTGCCAGTGAACCCCCAAGGTAACTGTGGAATGAAAGAGATGTCCTGATTTCCCCTGGCCATAAGAGCAGCCAGGCTGCTCAGATTCCCTGCTCCTGCCTTTGTAGGGTCACAGTTGTCCCTCCTCTCAGAGATCCCAGCCCTGAAGCTCCACATGAATGCCCAGGCACCCCTGGCACACGGAGTGAACAAACCATGTGATAACAGTGCCAGACCCTGGGGAGCCCCTGGAAGGGCCAGGGCTGCCTTCCAGCCGAGGTGCAGGTACTCCAAACCCCATCCAGGGAACTGTAAATATTTGGGATGGATGGTGAATCTCAGGGCAATAAATTCAGCTGCTGTTTGCTCAGGAAATCCTCCTGCTTTAAACAGACAATGACTCAACTGGGCTCAAAGGACTTGTCAAAAACACGTGTGATACAGCAGAGGGAAAGGAATTGGTTCCAGCAGTTACTCCAAGTCCTGTCCATGCTGGCCTTGGACACTTCCAGGGATGGGGTATCCATAACTTCCCTGGGCAACCTGTGCCAAGGCCTCACCACCCTCACAGCCAGGAATTTCTCCCCAGTTCCTAAACAGAATCATATCACAGAATATGGACAAGCAGCCGTGGCTCGTGCCCAGCTGTGGAACAAACCCACCTGGGGGACCCCTGTCCTGGGATGTGGGGCCATGGAAACCTCTCCTGAAACCCCACGGGCACCACACAGGTGCCACTCACTGGCCTTTGGAGAGGTGGCCAGGACAAGTCCCCAGAGGGATGGAGGGATGGATGGATGGAGGGATGGAGGGATGGATGGATGGAGGGGTGGATGGATGGAGGGATGGAGGGATGGATGCCATCCTGGATGGATAACCCAGTGCACAACATCCTGTTTGTCTCTGAACCTCAAACTCTGCCACCAAGGTGCCTTGAGCCATCTGTGAGGAGGCAAATGTCTCAGTCTCCATCACTTCAGGGTTACAAAAAATCAAAATTTAACTTCACTTTTCACCAAAAATATCCATTGTTCTGAATTTTACTGCTTGTTTTCTGAAATTCCCCTCTCCTATTCCCCTGTTTCTCCTGTTTTCCCTCCCCTCTCCCATTCCTGGAAGTGTCCAAGGCCAGGTTGGACAGGGCTTGGAACAACCTGGGCTGGTGGAAGGTGTCCCTGCCCATGGCAGGGGGTGGGACTGGATGGGCTTTATGGTTCCTCCCAATCCAAACCAGTCTGGGATTCCATATTTCACCTGAAGTTGTCCTATTTTGTGCTGGATGAATTCCTGAAGCACAGGAACAGGACACCAAAGGGACAGACACAGAAGGAGCAATCACTTCATCTTGCTCAGATCATAATTGCACCACACTCCCTGCACTTGGGTTAATTACAGAGCTGGAGTGGTCAGACCTGTTTGCCTTAGGAAAGGGCACGCCTGGAGTCTGGCAGCAGAATCCAGGAGCCTGTGGATCCACACGGAAATGGGCCAGGATGGAAACTGCTGCTGGCTGAACCTCTGCCACGAGCCACAGGAGACATCAGAGTAGAAACTCTGCAGCCCTGGGGTGGGAAAGGCTTCCCCCAGCAGCAGGACACCCTGTGTCCATGTGCTGCAATCCCAATCCCCAGGGACAATGCAGGACACGCTGTGTCCCTGTGCTGTAATCCCAATCCCCAGGAATGATGCAGCTCCTGCAGCCCAAAAGGTCACCCAGCACTTCCCGAGGCTGCCGGTGGCTGGTGAAAGGAGTTTTGCAATCCACTCCTGAAGGAACTGCTCTAGATAAACAGCCTCGAGCTGTGACTGGAGACCAAGCCATTCAGGTGACCAGAAACCAGGAAATTTTACCTTCTAGAAAGGGTTAAATCTCTGCTTCAGCTGCAGATTTCAGGTGTATTTCCCCTGCTCACACACCTGATCCATACAGAGTCACAGAATCCCACACTGCTTTGGACTGGGAGGGACCTGAAAGCCCACCCAGTGCCACCCCTGCCATGGGCAGGGACACCTTCCACCAGCCCAGGTTGCTCCAAGCTGGCCTGGAACACTTCCAGGCCCAGGGCTCCCAGGTCTGTCCCAGCCCCACGCTGTTCCCAGCCTGCCCAGGACACCGGGACAGGTCACTGCACACTTTCATCCCCGTGACCCAGGGAGGCTCATTCCAGAGCCAAAGGAGCCGCAGGGCGGAACAGAACAGCTCCAACAGGGAGAACAGCCATTAATCTCAACCCATTACAAGCCATTCACTTGGCCATTTACAGGGCACCAGGAACTGCCAGGGAAATTCCACCCCACAGGAGTCACTGGGCTGGAGCTGCTGTTGGACGGGGCTTGGAGCAACCTGGGCTGGTGGAAGGTGTCCCTGTCCATGGCAGGGGTGGCACTGGATGGGCTTTAAGGCCCCTTCCCACCCAAACCAGTCTGAGATTCTGTAATTGATGCTTAAAAAGCCACTTGAAGAACAGAGGAAGCACCAAGTGGTGTTTTCAGTAGTACAAACTCCAGCCCTCAGCAACCCCAGCTCAGGGAGTTCCTGGGCCATTTCACCCCATTTGCACCCTGCCACCCTCATTTCAAACCTCCTGCACTGGGGACACACGAGAAGTAAAAGGGGAAGAGGAATTCTGTGTAGGGAGAACTCAAATCATGCACAGGCAGCACAGCCCGCCCTAAAATCCCCCTTGCCTGCCCAGAGCTGGGCCCTGAGCACCTCCCCAGAGCACCCAAAGCCCATGGGAAAGCAATGACAGGGAGGGAGGGAGACAAAAGCACCTTGAACTGGGAGCAGACAAGAGCCAAAGGGAAGGGATGCAAAGGGAGCACCCCGAGCACACCCAGATAGGCATCAGAGGGCTTGAGATCCAACCAAGCCTGGAATGAGCTTCAAAGGAGCTCCTGGTGTCAGCCATCCTGAACCCAGCCTGCTGCTCCCTCCCTGCTCCAGAGGCAGCTCATCCACAGCCTGAGTCACCGACAGGGCCCCAGGACACCCCAGGAATGGCAGCAGCTCCCCTGGGAACAGGCAGGGCCGCTGCTCTCCAGCCCCTCAACCCCCCCACCATCAGCACCACAGGAAGGACAGAGGGGAAGGTGTCACCCTACGGACACAGGAGATCCCAGCAAGAAGGAAGGTCTGGGAGCAGTTCCCAGAGATGGGATGCCAGCCCGGGATGCCTCTGAGCTGCAGAGCTGCCCCCATAAATCCAGAGACAACCTGTTCCTGCTCCAGGGAGTCGCACTGCGACGATCTCCCGGGGTGAGGCAGTTTGGGTCACCCAGGCCTGTTTCATCTGAGCAGACACAGATCCTGGGATCGACAGCCCCAGAACCTGATGACCTGGGGGGTCTTTTCCAACCTCCAAGATGCTGTGCCCTGGAACTGGGGTACTCACGGAGAGGGGGCCCGAAGAGCACCGTGTCCAGGGCCTTGAGCTGCAGCTTCTGCCGGTGGCTGCGGTCGGTCATCTTGAGCACAGTGCCCATCATGGTGGCATTGTTCACTGCCAGCCTGCACGGGGGAGAGCAGAGCAGCAGTCACTGGGGTTCACAGCTGACCAGGAGCAGGAACAGGGAGACCAGGGGAGCAGGACATGAGAGTTCCCTGCTATCAGCACAAAGGAAATCCCTCTGACCCAGGGTATCTCTAGGACAGGGTTTACAGCAGCGTCTTTGGGAATGGAGAGAGCAGGGAAAACCAAGGCCAGGCCTATTTCATTCATCCTGACAGCCTGAGGGACTGATTTCCCATCAAAACCCATCTTTTGGTGTCCTACCAATCAGTAATAGTTGTTTTTTCACCAAATCTCCACTGCCTTTGCCATCCTGTGTCACACACCACAAACTACACTTCTCACTCGGAACAGATGTGGACACACCATGTGCTGCCTCAAAAACCTCCTTGTTTTATTCCCAGTTAACTGGGATTTGTTCTCAGTTAATCCCTCCTCCCCAGTCAGTTTAAAAGCCTCTTTTTCAGTGACAAGAACCTTCACCCAAAAAGCTGCACTGAGGTTTTCCAAACCTGTTACAAGTTTAGGCCAACTCACAGCCACTGTTTCTCTTATCCTGGCACTATGGAATGATTTGGGTTGGAAGAGACCTTAAAGCCCATCCAGTGCCACCCCCTGCCATGGGCAGGGACACCTTCCACCAGCCCAGGTTGCTCCAAGCCCCATCCAGCCTGGCCTTGGACACTTTTGGGATGGGGCAGCCACAGCTTCTCTGGGTAACCTGTGCCAGGGCCCCCCCACCCTCACAGGGGAGAATTTCTTCCCAATATCTAACCCAGATTTCCCCTCTTTTCTCTCAAAAATGCAGTAGAACAGGAATAAGGCTTTGCTCAGCCCATGCCAAGGAATTACATGTGAAGTCAGGAGCTGCCTGGGATCTGTTTTGCCCCTGGCACACGTCCCAGAGGCTCCTGGGGACACGGAGGGCACTGACCTGGGCATGGCGTGGCCACTCAGCTGCAGCTTTCGGAAGGTCTCCTCGTACTGGGGCAGCTCCACGTAGGTGATGAGCCACTGAACCACCTCGTCCACTGTCCAGTTATACACTGAGGAGAGGCACAGGACAGGCAAACAGCTTATCAGGGGTCCTCAGCCCCCAAAATCATCCACCAGCAACAGCAGAGCTTCACCAGACACTCCCCAACCCGCCACCCTCAGTGAGGGAAAAATCCCTGCAGAGTTCAAAGACAAGCCCCTGCAGTGAGGAATGATCCCCTGGGATCACAGAATCATGGAATGACACAATGGTTTGGGTTGGGAGGGATCTTAGAGCCAGCCCCTGCCATGGGCAAGGACACCTTTCCCTAGCCCAGGTTGCTCCGAGACCCGTCCAACCTGGCCTGGGGCACATCATGCAACATGTGTTTTTTTAGAACAGAGAGGCCTTTTTTATAATTTATCAACCTCTGTCCTTGCTCAGACAGGCTGAGCTCCTGCAGCACCTCCCCAGGCTGCAGCAAGGCTGGGCTGGGAATCCCCCCCTGCTGACAGTCAGCTCCTCACAGCCCTGACATCCTCCATCCATCTCCTTCACACCCTCCCCAGCAGCCAAGGCAGGAAAAGGCCCATTTCCTCTGGCTCCCGGGGCTGCAGAGCTTCAGGGCCTCTGCCCAAATGTCAACAGTGACTTGGCCCACAAGTATGAGAAACATCTCCCTGCCAGCTCCAGAGAGCCCAACGCCTCTGACAGGGAGCTGAGGGAGCTGGGAGAGAGGAGAGGGAGCTGAGGGAGATGTGAGGGAGAGCTGAGGGAGCTGGGAGATGTGAGGGAGCTGAGGGAGCTGGGAGAGAGGAGAGGGAGCTGAGGGAGATGTGAGGGAGAGCTGAGGGAGCTGGGAGAGATGTGAGGGAGAGCTGAGGGAGCTGGGAGAGATGTGAGGGAGAGCTGAGGGAGCTGGGAGAGATGTGAGGGAGAGCTGAGGGAGCTGGGAGAGATGTGAGGGAGCTGGGAGGGAAAGCTGAGGGATGAAGGAGATGAGGAAGCCGAGGGAGCTGGGAGAGATGACGGAGTGAGCCCAGCACTGAGCAAAGACAGCAAGGCTCCAAAGGAAGGTGCCATCCCCAGAGGTGTTTATTTTGGGAGGAAATCCCTGAGAACCAAGCTGGAAGCATGCACACTTGCCAAGATGAGCAGGTCCCTGCCCTGCCAAAATGGGCTGATCTGGTACTTCCATGGCTTTGGTAGAGCCAGGCTCACCCAGGGCTTCATCTGTCAGATACAACACTTGTAAGAGCATCACAGCCTTTGTATTTTTGGATCATTAAGGGACAGAAATAACTTTTTATTTTCCACAGGTGCCCCAGGAACAGGATCAATGGAAGGGAGGAAAAGCAAGGGCTTGGAAACAGCTGCCATGGGCACAACTGCCCTGTCCCTTCACAGCATCTTCTCACACCCACAGGAAGGAGCAGACCTTTCCTACAAGCCTGATTCCCGTTTTATGACTGAAGTTCAAGCTCCAAGATTAGGCTGGATATATCCCTGGAAGTGTTCCAGGCCAGGCTGGACGGGGCTTGGAGCAACCTGGGCTGGTGGAGGGGGTGGCCCATGGCAGGATGGGCTTTAAGGTCTCTTCCAACCCAAACCTTCTGTGATTCCAGGATATCAAACCATCCTTTGGATATTTATTTTATCAGCCAGACCTACAGGATGATGAATGGGAAAACAAGAGCAGGAACTAAGTCCAGCCCTGGGAAACTGTGATGCCAGAGCAGCCCTGCCAAGGCCGTGGCAGGTCCGTGTGTGCCAGGAGCAGGAGAGAGCAGAGCAGCTCAGCAATTACGGGACTGGGGAGCGTCGTGGGATGTTCTCCTCCATCCACTAATGATTTCTGCCCTTTGCCAGCCGACACTAAAACACACTCCAGGCAAAGCCATCTGTAAACAGCCGGTTAATGGGATAAATATTCCTTATGGGAGGTGTTCCTGGGACACGGGGGCCCAGGGGAGCTGTGGGGTCACAGGATCCTGGAGGGGGGAAAAGCCCTCGGAGAGCACTGAGTCCAACCACCCCCAGCACTGCCAAGGCCACCACTCACCCACATCCCCAGGTGCCACATCCACAGGGCTGTTCTATCCCCCAGGGGATTTCCACCACCACCCCAGGGATGAATGACACCATTTGGGAACAGCCTGAAGTTATTTCCACGTGGACTGGACTTAGGACCCTTCCACTTCCAGGACTTTATTCTGCTTTCCCTTCACTACAGGAAGGAGCTTTTCAGGTTCAAAAAATTTCTGCGAAGGAAAACACAACCTGCAGGAAAACACAACCTGCAGGAAAACACAACCTGCAGGAAAACTCCCACGCAGTTCCACTGAATATTTAGGGTGTAATTATTCCATTAAAATTCCAGCTGAAACTGGGAGTTTACCAGAGAACCTGGAATTGGACAGCATTTGGCCCTATTTCACACACATTTTAGGGTGGAGAAACAAAACAATTTCTACTTTTGTGGCCACGCTCAGGTGCAGCATTAAGAGTTTGCAAGTGAGGAAATCCCGAAAATCCACCCCAAAAAAAAGAAGCCAGGAGAGCACTGGTGCAGGGCAGGAAGAGCAGCAGCACATTCCTTCTGAAAGCTCTTCCAAGAGCTTCCAAAATCCAAACTCTTTGGCCCTGCTGGGAAAGGGTTTCTTTGCTTGTTTGCCTTTTTTTACCTTCAGATGTTTTCCAGGCCTTCCAAAGATCTTCCACACTGATGAGCTTGTCCTCTCCATGGAAGGTGCTGTGCTTGACTGCTGGGTCGTGGTAATTCAAGTCCTCCCTCAAGAACTAGGAGAGGAATAAACAGCAGGATTAGGCTTTGGTTCATCTTGTAGAAGCATGAGGAGCACTAAAAAAATCTTGAAGAAGAAGAAGAAAAAGAAGAAGGGAAATCCCAATAAATCTGAATAAATATAAAGTATTATTATATACGTAAGCTATTATATAAATATATTATAATAATAGACATAAACTTGTATTTCTTTCTAATAAAATTGTTAGTTAAATATTTTTAGCTGCTGACTTAAACTGACAAATCAAACTGAGTATGAACATTCCCTGCAGTACCCTTGGAGATTTAAGTTCCTGGGAAGACCAGCTAGGAAATATTCAGCAAGTAAATATGTTCAATTAATTTTAATACAGAGTGGGTATAATAAATAATTATAACCTCATTTTCTGGGATTCCAGACGTTTCTTTGAATTATGCTCTTACCAAAAATCCACCTAAGTGGCACAATGGAACCAGCTTTACGTCATTGGAATAAGAATTCAAACCATTATTACTGGGTTTGACCTGCACCTTTCAAAGCCAAGCTGGAGCAAATGCCATGGGCAGGGGATGAGGGAATACCACTGAGAAATACGTATAAATAAATATATCCCAGCTGTGGCTGCCCCTGGATCCCTGGAAGTGTCCAAGGCCAGGTTGGACGGGGCTTGGAGCAACCTGGGCTGGTGGAAGGTGTCCCTGCCCATGGCAGGGGTGGCACTGGGTGGGCTTTAAGGTCCATTCCCACCCAAACCAGTCTGTGAAATCACCACCAGCAGAACCACTCACATTCCAGTGCCCAACAGGTGGAACCAAATGAAGGGATAACTTCCCATTCCCACCCCTCCCACATCACTCAGGGCAGGATCCTTCACCCCCAGGCCCCTCTGTGCCCAGTGGGATCACACCCACAGGAGAGTCCTCTGAGATCTGCAGCTTTAACATCAGACAGGGCTGGGAAAAGCTCCGGCACAGCTTTAACATTCCAGGCTCCTGCAAATCCACTGCAGGTGCTGCCCAGGCTGCCCAAGGTCCTGCAGCTCCAGCCTGGGGCCCCTCTGCTCTCATGCCTTTGGCTGCCCAGAGCCAGGGCAGGAACATGGACAATGGGAACGTTTGGGAAAAGGGCCCTTCCAGCAGGGCAGCCCCTGCCCCTGGGGTCCTCAGCTGGAGCAGTGACATTGTCCCCTCCTGGTGGGTCCCTCGTGACTGCAGCAATGTCACCGTGTCACTGCTGGGAGCAGGGATCAGCTGCTGGAGCAGGGATCAGCTGCTGCTCGGTATATTTAGCTCGGGGAGCACAGAAAGGAAAAGTGATCCCTTCAGCTTCCCTTCGGAGCACGGTCCCAAAACAAACCCCCAGGGACTGGCGGAGGGGACGGAGCTGGGGGTGGGAAGAACGTCCAGAAACGGGTGGGAAGGAGGGTGCAGGATGGGGATGGAGCTGCCTGAGGGGCTGCAGGAGCTGGGCTGCTCCCACCACAGCCCAAGGAGACCTCAAAGCAGGTTTTCCATGTGTGCTTTCTGGGGGAAAGAATCCCAGAATGGTTTGGGTTGGGAGGGACCTTCAAGACCGCCCAGTTCCAACTGCTGCCATGGGCAGGGACACCTTCCACTATCCCAGGTTGCTCCAAGACTCCCAGATGTTCCAAACCCCAGGCACGAGAAACACTGCATGAAATCCTGACCTACCTGCAAACCACTAAAAAGCAGCACTTTCAAGTGTCAAAGATCCCACTGTTCCCAGCCCTGGAGACATCCAAAACTCCCAGTCCTGGGAAGGGACTGGACCTATCCAAGCTCCCACATGGACCATCTCCAGAGATCCTCTGGAAACCACCCCCAGCCTTGGCCAGGCTGCAAATCTGCAAGAACAGAAGGAAACTGAGCCAACCCCAAGTCTCCCACCAAGCACAGGGAACGACAAACCACGGGCAGAGCAGCCAAAAGCAACGGGGAACAGAACCACAGCTACACAACACAACTTGGATGAGCCGAGATCCCAGCGGGAAGGCTCGGCTTGGGAATGCTGATGATGATGCTCTGGGGCCCCCAACATCAGGAGGACGTGGAGCTGCTGGAGGGAGTCCAGAGGAGGCCATGGAGATGCTCCAAGGGCTGGAGCCCCTCTGCTCTGGAGCCAGGCTGGGAGAGCTGGGGGGGTTCACCTGGAGAAGAGAAGGATCCAGGGAGAGCTGAGAGCCCCTTGCAGGGCCTGAAGGGGCTCCAGGAGAGCTGGAGAGGGAGTGGGGACAGACACTTTGGCTGAAGGCACACTCAGAAATGAATGGATCCATGAAATGGGATTTTCTGGAGGTTTTTTTTCATAGAATCACAGAATATCCTGAGTTGGAAAGGACCCCCAAGGACCACCCAGTCCAACCCCTGACCCCAACAATCCCCCCCGTCCCTGAGAGTGCTGTCCAAACTCTCCTTGAGCTCTGTCTTCTGTGTTTTTCTATCTGCAGAAACTGCAACTACTGAAATGATTTTTCAGCCCTTCCCATCCCTCCCACATCCCTGGATCCGTGCCCATCCTCCCTCCCCAGCACCAGCTCCCGGCTGTGCCGGTGCCAAGGGCCGTGTGCCGGCAGAGCTCCCCGTGCAGAGCTCCCCGTGCTCCCGGTTCCAACAGCTGTCCTGAGCCATCAATCCCACTGAAACACACACAGCTCCTGCCTCCAAAGCCTCCTGCTGTCCAGGGAACCCGGGCTCTGGATCAGGGGTTGAGAGGAGTCAGGGCAGAACATCCGAGAGCCACTGGGAACCTGCATCCCAAAGAGCTGGAGCCGCCTTTGGAGTGAGCAGGAGGGCAGGAATAGATCCCTATTTGGAAGATTTCCCCGAGAGGGAAAGTTCTTTCATTTATAATTGAGGCCAATGATGTCATCTGAAACTTCATTGAAAATTCACTTCCCAAAAGGAAGACAGTAATGATGATTTATGGACGGCGTGAAAGTTGTGGGACAAAATCCCACCTAGAATTTGGATATTTTAAAACCACAGTTGTCTGTGTCTCCACTTCTGCCCAGTCAGGGCTTTCAATCCAAACAAAACACTCCCATAACTAAACCCCAAAGAGAAGGGGCCAAATTAATAAATGAAAACACAAAGTTCTCCACCAACCAGGGAAATGCCCATCCCTGGAAGTGTCCAAGGCCAGGTTGGATGGGGCTTGGGGCAACCTGGGCTGGTGGAAGGTGTCCCTGCCCACGGCAGGGGTGGCACTGGATGAGTTTGAAGGTCCCTTCCAACTCAAACCATCCTGGGATTCCATGAACCCCATAAAAGGTTTCAATTTGAGCCTCCTGCATTCTTCCCAATAATCCCCCGGCAGCTGTCCCACTGCACAGACATGGAGTTAAACCTGATTGCAGGGTCCATGTGGGGGAGAGACATAACCTTGACAGGGAGAACCCGACAGGAGCCTCAGGAGAGAGAGAGCTCAGGGAGAGAGACTCCTGAAATACCTCACTCAGTGCCTGCAGAGCCCGTTGACAGGGGAATTTAATGCAGCTTTTATCAAAGTTTCAAGCTTAGCAGAGGTAAAGCAGCAACTTTAAAGCAGGATGGAATCACAGGGACATGGAATCACTGAGGTTGGATGTGACTCCAGCACTGCCCTGGGCAGCTGTGCCAGGCCTGGACAACTCTTTCCATGAACAATTTTCCCAATATCCAACCTGAGCCTCCCCTGGCACAGCTGGAGGCCGTTCCCTCTCCTCCTGTCCCTTGTTCCCTGGCAGCAGAGCCCGACCCCCCCCGGCTCCCCCCTCCTGTCAGGGGGTTGCAGAGCCAGAAGGTCCCCCCTGAGCCTCCTTTTCTCCAGGCTGAGCCCCCCCAGCTCCCTCAGCCCCTCCTGCTGCTCCAGACCCTTCCCAGCCCCTCCTACAAGCAGAGGAGCTGCTGGAGCAGGATCAGCACTGCTGGGACCCAGCCCGGAGGGGTTGGAAGAGTGGCTGTAACAGCACCAGGGCAGCAATTCTGGAGCCTTCTAGAAAAACCCCTTTCACTGCTCACACCCTGGCAGTGTCCCTGTGCCCAGGCTCCCAGCAGACATTCCTGGCAGGGTTGGTACCAGGAGCTCCACGACTCCACCGAGGGCAAAACTGGCTCAGAGAGACATGAAAGTGCCAGCTGTGCCCAACCCTAAGAACATGAGGCCTATTGCTAATTCAGTGCCAGGGGAGCAGAACACATGGAGTGAACTCCAAAGCTGCCCCAGGAGTCAGTGGGGGAGGCCAAGCTGCAGCTCCAGCACAGCAGGGAACTGCCCCCAGGGAAAACACCTCATGGAGGAACTGCAACTGGGACTGCAACTGGGAGCTTCTCATTTGTTCTAATTGCTCTGTTAAGTGGGACTGAGGGAGAAGGAATGGCACTGCAGCCCGGGAACAGCCCCCCAGCTCCACCAGCTCCTGCCACATGAGGGCTGTGTCCCTGGGGAATGTCACTGCTCCCAGGGGCCCTTGGGATGGCTGGATTTGCCCAACAAACTGAGCTCTGAGTTTGGAGGGAGATTTAACCTCCATGAGGGTAAATTCTTTATGTGAGGAACCCCCTTCCAGGGCCTAAAGGGGCTCCAGGAGAGCTGGAGAGGGACTTGGAACAAGGGATGGAGGGACAGGACACAAGGAATGGCTTCCACTGCCAGAGGGCAGGGATAGAGGGGATATTGGAAAGGAATTGTTGGCTGTGAGGGTGGGGAGGCCCTGGCCCAGGTTGCCCAGAGAAGCTGTGGCTGCCCCTGGATCCCTGGAAGTGTCCAAGGCCAGGTTGGACAGGGCTTGGAGCACCCTGGAATAGTGGAAGGTGTCCCTGCCCATGGAATGAGATGGGCACTGGATGGGCTTTAGGGTCCCTCCCAACCCAAACCACTGTGGGATTCTGTGACCTGGGAGTGCAGAACTGCCTGTGAGTGGCAGCAGATCCCTTCCCCCACGTGCTTGCTTTCTGCTTCCAACACTTTCCTGTTTAGATGCCAGTTTTCCTTGGAAGACAAGAATTCCTCACCTCCAACAGAGCCCTGTGAATGAGCCCCCACAGCAACTGAAGCACCACCACAAACAAACACCTCCCCTTTTCCAGCAGGCTCCTCTCTACTGGGTGCTCATGTAAACAAAGAACATTTCTCTGCAAGGAAGTTCTTGGTAAACAACAAAAAGCTGCTTCTTTTTCAGCAATGAGCACATGGACTGGAACTGTTGGAGCTGGGTGGCAGAAGAACACAGTCACCATGGAATCATGGAATGGTCTGGGTTGGAAGGGACCTCAAAGCTGATGGACAGGGCCACCTTCCACTAGACCAGGTTGCTCAGAGCCCCATCCAGCCTGGCCTAAATGTGGCAGTGTGAAACAGGCAGCAGCCAGTTTGTTTGCCCCCAGAGACACAGAGGCTCCATCGGAATCCAGAGCTGTTTCCCAACCCCAAAATGGAAAAGGGAATTAAATAATAACAATCACATAAACCAATCTCCTTGTCTCTCTGTGTTGGAATAAATGGATAATACCTTGTGTGTAGAACATCATGGAATCACAGAAGTTTTGAGTTGGGAGGGACCTTAAAGCCCATCCAGTGCCACCCCCTGCCATGGGCAGGGACACCTTCCACCAGCCCAGGTTGCTTCAAGCCCCATCCAACCTGGAATGGGACACTTCCAGGGATCCAGGGGAGCCACAGCTTCTCTGGGCAAGGACACGATGATTAGAAAGTGCCAGCAGGGAGGAGCAGCCCCAGACACCCCACTGACAGTGGTGAGACACTGCCTGGATCAGCTGGGGCTGGCAGGGATGCCAGGGCAGCGAGGAGAGAGGCTCCAACCCCCCGAGCTGGCACACCAGGCACAGCCCAGCCCTGTCCCCATGGGGAGCAGCCCCCACCCCCAGCCCAGCACTGAGCACTGGGCACTGGGCACTCACCTCGTCGCTCTCCTCCACGTCCACGTTGCCGTTGGCGTCGTCGTCCATCTGCTTGTGGATGTTTCTCACGGCCTCGAAGCTCAGCTGCTCGTCCTCGTCGTGGCACAGCGGCTGGTCAATGCGGCAGAACTCTGGGGGGACACGGCACTCAGGGCAGGGGCACAAACCAGGCACTGGGGCTGGGCCAGCAAACCCACCACCCTGGGGCTGGGGCACAAACCAGGCACTGGGGCTGGGCCAGCAAACCCACCACCCTGGGGCTGGGCCAGCAAACCCACCACCCCAGGGCTGGGACACAAACCAGGCACTGGGGCTGGGACAGCAAACCCACCACCCCGGGGCTGGGAGCTGCAAACCCACCACCCCAGGGGCTGGGCCGGGAAACCCACCACCCTAGGGCTGGGCCAGCAAACTCACCGCCCTGGGGGTCTGGGCCAGCAAACCCACCACCCCGGGGCTGGGAGCTGGCACTCACAGCAGGGACTGGCACTGCCAGCACCCACGGGGGAACCTGGCACTGCTGGCACCCACGGCGGGCCCTGTGCAGCCACCATGGCCCTACAAACCCCCTGCCAGCACAGGGCAGGGCGAGGCCGTTCCCCTCCACACCAGCCCCTCCGGCATTCCCGGCGCTCCCGGGGCAGCTCTCCCAGCAGGGCCTGGCTCCTGCCCGCAGGGGAAGAGCCTCCCGAGCTCCATTTCTCACTCAGAGCTTGTTAGTGTTGGCACCAGGTCCAGCTGGGACGCTCTGGGAGGAAGAGCTGTGTGTTTATAAAACACATCAATTAGAACAGTTCCCTCCTTCCTGATTATGGAATGGGCTCTTCTGGCTGGCTTTCACATGTTTTTCTACTTTTCAAGACTAACAGCCTAAATTTTGCTGCAGTCCCGAGCCCATGTCAGCACCAAACGTGGCTGATCCAGCCCTTCTATGGCACTGCTGGGAGGGAACATGTGACCTGCACTGGAGGGAAGAGATGGGGCATCCAGAGAGACCACGGAGATGCTCCCAGGCTGGAGCCCCTCTGCTCTGGAGCCAGGCTGGGAGAGCTGGGGGGGTTCACCTGGGGAAGAGAAGGCTCTGGGGAGGCCTCTGAGCCCCTTGCAGGGCCTAAAGGGGCTCCAGGAGAGCTGGAGAGGGACTGGGGACAAGGGATGGAGGGACAGGACACAGGGAATGGCTTCCCACTGGCAAGATGCCCTGGACAACAATGGAGCCTCCTGTAGAGGCAGGGCTGGTGTGCTGCTGCCCAAACCTTGGGAGGTTTATCCCACGCTGTCTGTGTGGCTGGGGGAGTCCAGCAGGCCCAGGAACTGGTGACCAAACCAGTGAGTGCACTGGGAACACCCTCCCTCTCCCAGCCTGGCAAGGCTGTCCTCTCCTCCACAGCACTCCTGGCCAGCTGCTGCTGCCAACCAGTGACACCTGGACTCGTGGAGCCTGAGCTGGACCTGGGAAACACTTGGGTGTCCTGAGGTTGATCTGAACAGAGCTGGGTTTCCTCTCCCACCCTCCAAGTTTTCCCCACAGTCACTGCAGAACAAGCTCAGAGCTTTGGGCTGGGCCCTTCTGCACTGGTTCCTGCCCTTGGTCCCAGGGGCATGGAGCAGGAACACAGGATGGGCATTGTATTCCTGCTGCCCTTGGACAGGACTCCAGAAGGAAAAACGAAGCCAGGCTAAAAGATATCTCCCAAAATATTACAAGATTATCTTGTTCCAAGCCTGTGCTTGTTATTGCAGTGCAGAACGTGGCAGCACCGTGGCAAAGTTCAGATTGTGGAAGGCAAGGTCATGTCACTGTGAAACCAAGAGGGTTTGTGCAGATTAACACTCTCCTGACCACAGAACTCCTGAGCCATGTGTGTCCCAGGGGTTCATCCAGCATTCAGGGAACAGGATCTGAGGGGGTTGAGAAGATTGAGGGGGATCTCTCCCAGATTTCCTGCCCCCACAAGAACAACCCCGGGGTACTTGGAGCACAAATGTCAGGAGTGAAGATTGACTGAAAGCAGCAGAAAGAGCAATAAAACAATGGCTGCCAGGTGCTGATAACAAAGCACACCATCAAAGGTGATCAAACCAAAAACAGGGAGGAATTTGGTGTTTTCATCAGGGTCACAAAGAGCCTGAATATGGAGCAGGGTGATTTAATCAGCAGAAGACCCTGCACTGATAACAGAATGGTCCTGAGGTTTCAGCAGGGATGATGGGCCATTCCCCTCCCTGTTATCCCATTCCCCTCCCTGTTATCCCATTCC